CCCCGGATTCTGTACTGCCGCTGCCGATCTAGAAAAACGAAGTGAAATGCATTTCTACGATCAGAATACAGCCAAGGGCACTCGGCCAAGGTGAATTATCTTTAATTGATTAAGTCTGAACTTGTGTAGGCCTAATAGGGTAGGGAACAATGGCCTAATTGGTTTCCTTAGTCATATTGCTATAATTTTATGATGCAGCTACCTAGCTCTGTGACAATGTTTCATTTATTAATAATAATGAATGGCATTAATGGTCTTGCGAATATCCCCCGCTCATCAGCAAAACCCATGCACTTTACAATTTATCATCACCCTAGCAGACCCTATTGAGCACTCAGAAACTTTTGCAGCTTCTTGGGAAGCCTACAGTGCAAGCGGCTGATAAAGCGCCCAAACGCTAACAAAATGACAAGATCCTTCGCTGTCTGTAGCTGTGTAGCCACTCCTGTCTGGGGGAAGGGAGGACAATTCGAGTAAAGTGTTTTTCCAAAACAAAGTCGAGCCTTTGACGGATTCAAACCCACGATGTCATGGTTGCAGGTCCGAGAGCCTAACCACTTGGCCACAGATGTCATTTTATTTGAAACAATTCCAAACAATCTACTTAACACCTTCGGGACCACCGACGTGTATTTACACGATGGCAATACCCCTCATTCAAGCCAGTCCATTAAAAAATTATCCATGTTTTCAAATCAGAGAGAGAGAGAGAGAGAGAGAGAGAGAGAGAGAGAGAGAGAGAGAGACAGAGAGGGAGAGGGTGTGACCAGTTTGAGAGAAAGAGAGAGGGAGAGAGACAGGCTGAGAGAAAGAATAAGATAAACAAATAGAAAGAGAGGCTGAGGGATAAAGAAAGACACATCAATCTGTACACGACAAAAACTCACCACCGTTGAAAGTACCGTAACTAACCTACGAGACGGGTGTGGGAAGGTGCTGGGGTTTCACACCTGGGGTAATTCCACCCCCCCCCCCTTACAGCCCTTAGAACCAACAGAAATCTGTTTGTCATTTAGCTTTAATCATTTGCTTCTACTTCTGTCTGCCATGTTTCATTTTTCTATTCAGTTTTAATTTCTTGTATGAGTAAATAAGTACTTATTCATTATGGAAACTTTACTTATCAAATGAATGTTTTTTTAAATAAGGAGAAGTGAGGCAATGGTCTTAAACACTGAAAAAACTTACTTTTTTACTTACTTACTAATTTCTTGCAAGTCTGTCTTTTTATTTTCATTTGGCATGTGCTCTCATGTGGGTGTGGAATTTCTCCGCAATATTAAATGTTTAATTAAGTTGAAAAATGGAAGTATGGAGATGATGATATCGTAGAATTCATATTATGCTTTGTTTTCTAACTAATCAGACCCAACGTAAAACTGTTATGGAGGATGTATTCTCTTTTTACGTAGAGTAGCTTCTATAACACTTGACTAACAATCCAATTGAAAAGTATGGTGTGGAATTCCCCCATTTTACTATATTTATTTATCTAATGTAATTTTGTCGCTAGCTTTTTCATGCTTCCCCTTCTCCATTCCCCTGGTGTGTGTTCTGTTCCAAGAAGTTCTTTAAAATAACAGATGGAATATTTCAGAACTTTCTTCTTCAATTGCTTTTAGACACTTAAGCATCTTTACAGCTATTCTACATTTCCCAGGACATTTGAGGTTTTTAGTTCCTTTGTTCTTGTGTTTTGTTTTTATTTCATTTTTGTGACAACTAATACAATGTTCGCTAAGGTTTTAAAATTCATTTGTGTAGAAGTTCACCATTTCAATTGATTGTAATTCGTCAAATTTAAATTCATTAGCTGGGGGTGGTTTATCTAATATATATTTGGCAACTTGGAAACACATGTGTCACTTTTCCCATAAAACTACGACAGCTACAGAGTTGAAACGTGGCAAGTATCTGCAAAAAGATAAATAGGTCCCAATGACAGAGCCTGATTTAGATTTATTCATTTCTTGAATTTAGAAAAATATATTAACAAAAAGTTCCCGTCCTTCCTTCTAAGCCTTTCTGATTATATCCACTGAGACAAAAGAAATCTGCGTAGCTGTCCATTACAATGGAAGTGCCGGAAGTGATATTTCGAGAGACGCATTTTGTTTTGAGAGTATAGATTCCAGTAGAGTGTAAATATAGTAGGCCAATGACTTTCAGTTGATGTTAATGCACCGATAATTCCTTTCATCGAAAGGGGGACCAGCTAGTTATATATCTGACACGGTTCTGCTCATCTTTCTTTCTTTTCATCTCATTGTGTTTCGAGAGTACCATCTTTCTTTTTCACTTGACCTTCCGGTGAATTTCCAAAGTCTCCTGCCAGTTTTCGGCAATTTGGTAAAGTCTAGTCATTTCTATTTGCCGCTTTTTTAGCATAAAGAAACATCTTTTCTGTATAGTATTCTCACATTATGTTTTTGCTTGTCTTACTTTGAACGTTTGTCGTTGTTTGTTCTGTACTTTTCCCGCACATCCACTGTTTATTTTTGCAGGGGCTTGCAGCGTTTTCAGTTTTCCTCTCTTTCTTCCTCTTATAGTCTCCCATGGATCAACTCGAATCCATTTTTCAGGGTTTTTAAATCCATAATCAAGGATTATTTTTCTGCTGTGGTGACATGTGAGGCATCATGATTAATTCAGGCGCTTGTCAAAATAATGAAATCAAAGAAACTGGCATTTTTCCACCGGTTTGGACATTTTTATCGAATTTCTGTTGTTTAGCTTAACAATTTTAATGTCCATTTAAAACACATTTCAGAGTAGATTTGACCGAAAAACTTTGATTGAAAAGACGAAAACTGTACAATTTTAGTTTTCAAGGACCCTCAAGTTGTGGAAGCTACCATACTTTGGCAGCCATTTTCTCATTAATTTTACCACTGAATCCAGTGATCCCCTCCTCCTTCAATCGCAAGTGTCTCGTATTCTATTCAAGATAAAAAGGATACTTTTTCCCTTCAAAGCAATGCAATTATACAGTCTTTAAGATGGTACCAACATGTCCTCTTGTCCAAAAATTGACGAGCGTCTGATTCCACCACGTTGTGATATAGCATGCTTCTCTTATAGCTCCCCTGAGATCTCCACAGGTATCATCTCTGTCTTCATTAACACACAGGATTCCCTTCACGTTCGTCAGACACCCTTATTCTAAATTCTGAAACTGAAACAATGTCAGCTAAGATATTTGATTCATCACAGATGTCCGCTCGTGAATCAAATTGTCATCTTTTGCGTTCAACGGCGAAACACTGGACATCGGTAAGAATAGCTCTGGTACTGGTACAATTCCAATAATCCATTAAGTCAAAATGCGAGCTATCAGTATAATTATCACATCGACTAAATCGAAATGGCATACTTCGGAAAGAACAGATCAGTGAGGGGTGCTATTGGTAGGTTTTAATCCTTCTCTCTCTCTCTCTCTCTCTCTCTCTCTCTCTCTCTCTCTCTCTCTCTCTCTCTCTCTCACTCTCTGTCTCTGTCTGTCTCTCTCTCTTTCTCTCTCTCTCTCTCACTCTCTGTGTCTCTCCCTCTCTTTCTCTCTCTCTATCTCTCTCTCTCCCCCTCTCTCTCTCTTTCAGTAGGATCTGTTTGTAATCTCTCCTTGTCTTTCTTCCTTTTCTCTCCGCTCTAAAAGACCGCTAGCTACTAAATCGCCGCACAGTACCTCTCTTTCATTGCTCAGAAACAAAAACATAATATATTATACAAACAACAACAACAACAACAACAACAACAACAACAACAACAACAACAACAACAACAACAACAACAACAAAACAAAAAACAAACAAACAAACAAAAAAGTATATTCTGACTTGTACGATCTTCGGCATTTTCCTCAATTTAGTTTTAGTAGAGGTTTTACGGCGCTCTCAACAGCATAAGGTCATATGAGCGCCAGGAGATTAGAGGTGTTACAAGAGAGTAACAAACATAAAAAAGAAGGAGGGGAGATAAAGACGATAGATGTTTGATAGGAAAGAAGAAGCAAACCACACCAGAGCACCCGCCAACCACCCACTTTTTCCTCAATACAAACCGGACCTTGTCCAAACCAGCACAAAACTATCCACCTTCATTGTTTCGCTTTGGACGTAAATGCTCTCCCACTCACCTTTCAGTGCAAGTTGAATTTTCATGAGTAATATCTTACACACTGGCCATCAAAGGAGCAATTATGATCATAACTCATCATGCGCAAGCCTGCAATGGCTTCAGCTGCCGTGCCTGTTGCAGCACACAAAAGGCTAAGTAGGCTAATCTCCAGTGTTCATGAAGTATTCAACACATGACCTGTGCAGACTGGTTGATAAGCTTGAGGAACAGGGTAGGCGGAGTATAAATACCTGGGTACAGAGAACGTGGGATGTTTCTCTACTGGTCACGGGATCGTTACAGGTAAAACGGTGACCGTTACAGGTAACACGGTGACCGATACATGTTACAGTTACAGGTAACACGGTGATCGTTACAAGTTACAGGATCATTACAAGTTACAGGATCGTTACAAGTTACAGGTAACACGGTGACCGTTACAAGTTACAGGTAACACGGTGATCATTACTAGTTACAGGTAGCACGGTGATCGTTACTAGTTACAGGTAACACGGTGATCGTTACTAGTTACAGGTAGCACGGTGATCGTTACTAGTTACAGGTAGCACGGTGATTGTTACAAGTTACAGGTGGCAACGTGATCGTTACGAGTGACAGGATCGTTATGAGGTACAGTTAGCACGGTGACCGTTACAAGTTACAGGTAGCAACGTGATCGTTACGAGTTACAGGTAGCACGGTGATCGCTACAAGTTACAGGTAACACAGTGATCGTTACAAATTGCAGGATCCTTACAAGTTACAGGTAACACTGTGACCGTTATAAGTTTCAGGTAACACTGTGACCACCCGTGCTCCCAGAATAGTGGGGTGACCGTTCAGGAAGTGGAACTTTTGATGGGCAGATAGATAGATAGATAGATAAATAGATAGATAGATAGGTAAATAGATAAATAGATAGATAGATAGGTGGGTAGATAGATAGATGGATAGACAGATAGATAGGTAGATAAATAGATAGGTAAAGAGGTAGATAGATAGATAAATAGATAGATAGATAGATAGATAGATAGATAGATAGATAGATAGATAGGTAGGTAGGTAGGTAGATAGATAGATAGATAGATAGATAGATAGATAGATAGATAGATAGATAGATGTTGTTGTTTTGTTTTCAAATCCCTTTAGCTGCGAGCATTTCGCTCTTGGCAGCGCAGTGCCTCCTTCAAGTAACCACATGTCCTTGTCATCTGGTCAACGCCAGAGTAGAGCAGGCTTTGTAAGTCTGTAGGTGTGTGTAAACCTATCTCGGTTACTATGACCTTTCAGATAAAGCCTTATAGCATGGAGGCAGAACAGGAAAACATCTCTAAAATGTAACTTTACATGTTTTTTTTTGTTTGAATCTACGGTTACCATGGTAACAGCGGCCATATTGAAAATAAACAGCTTTCATAAAAGTAACAAAGATTTTTGTATTTACCAATAAATTTGTTCAAAATTTGGTACATTGATAGATACACTCAATACAAAATTTTATACAATTGGGATTTTGGATATCTTGAATTTGAAGAAAAGTTATAGATGGATAGCTGACCTACTTCTTCATGCGTCTGAATTCGCTTACATAATCATCAATGTAACTCATTTATGAATGCATCGATTTGATTTTCCACTGGTATAAAGTTAGATTATGGTGTGAATAACAAGCCCTGAAAATGTTATTGGAAGCAATTAGAAAATAAAAAAGTAGATGAGAAAAACTATCAAAAATTGAAGTTTTAAGAAAAAACGACATTTTGTTACATAATAGGCAAAATAAAAATTCTAGGACAGAAAATCTGAAAGATGATAATTGTAACACAAAGAGTATGCATTTTTTTAGATTTGCAAGTGGTTGAAAAATTATGATGCGTACAGAGTCCATATACCGTAAATTGACTTAAACTCCTCAGTTTAAAACCAGCCCCCCCCCCCCCGCCACTTTAAGTACATGTAAGTACTGAGGAAAAGCATTTTTATGTATGTACTGCCAGAAACAACTGAGAGAAGGAATAGAAGTTTGGTTTCCAAGTGGTGCCCACCTACCACTCCCTCTCAGATAGGTGAAATTACTGGTAAATATTTTTCTTTTCTTTCTTTTGCAGATCGGAGAATTACTTATTTCGCCATCATGACCAGATCGTCAAATCTTTTCTCATCGGCTACACTGAAACTTGCAGTGTGTTGCATGCGTGCCCTCCTGTGTCTTGGACCTGAGGTTGTTAGTTGGGAGACAGACACAATGACATGTTCAGGCAGCCCAGGATTTATCAGCCAGTGTGATCTGAAAACTGTCCCGTCTTCTCTTTCCCCCATGCCGTGTATGCAGGCCTGTAATGAGAACCCTGACTGTCTCGGGTTTAACCTCAACACGTCCACCAACCTCTGTTCTCTGTGCTCCCCAACAGGCGTGGCCTCATTTTCTGGGAACGAGACAAACAGCTTCCGCTACTTGTGTTACGACACGCGATACTTCTGGCCGAAACTCCAGCAACACCAGTCACCATTTGCATATTCGCTGAAAGGCCTTTTCGACGGACAAATCATACGAATTTCAGGTATCGCTAGAGGTAGCTCATTCCGAATCCGATTCCGAACCTATACGTGTGAACACTGTCAGAGCGATAACCTTGGCGTTGAGTTTGACCAGGACAGATTTTTTGCTTCCAGATGGTTTTATGGTAGAATTATAGACGGACCGGAGTACACCCCACTGAGACAGAAGATCGTGCAGGGAGAGCGTTTCGAGATTTTGCTTCTCATCAAAAATTCCAACTACTACATCTATGAGGGTAATGAACTCCTCACCACATTTTTTAGACGTACGTATTTTTCATTGATTAGTTTAAAATACTTGCAAGTTGAGGGCGACTTTGAAAACCTTGAACTATCTTTTGTGAGTTCTTGAACATTTTAGGCACTTCAAGGATAGGCGTTCTCGGATAGGCTTTGAAATAATTTCAGTTAAAAGACTTTGTTCTCCCGGTGGTTATCTTCTTCTTTGCGGTGCTCTGCTAGATCTCAGGGGTAGCTGACTGTTGGTTCTTCAACTTGTTAGGTCTCAGGGGTAGTCGACTGTTGGTTCTTTAACTTGTTAGGTATCAGGGGTAGTTGGCTGTAGGTTCTTTAAACTGCCAGACCTTAGGGTAGTCTATTCCTGATTCTTCCACCTGCTAGATCTCAATGGCAGTCGACTGCTGATTCTGCAAGATCTCATCGGTATTCGATTAAATGATTTTTACGTATGTAGATGTTTTTCCGACTTCGCTGGGTCCCTTGCCTTCAGGCAGCCACATTCCGATTTCGAAGGTACTCTGTATGTTTTTATACTGACTAGAGTATTTCAGTTTTGATATGAATTGAACTTTGTCCAGGTGGTGGCTAGAGCCTTCTCCTATAGATTTAAGGGATTTTTAACATGCACGACTTGCCCACGGGACCACCAAATTTTTTTGGTTCTTACCCGAGAGGGCTATGTGTTAGATCTTACCTACCCTAAGATCAGGAGTGTGGCTGACAGACAGTAGTAAGAAGGAGCCAAAGAGTTGTTATAGAAACAGTTAAGGTGTTAGGGAAAAAGGAACACAGAGAAGGTAGGGTATTTTAAAATAAATTTATGAAGAAATATTTTTTAATCTAGCCTCAATTGTTATGAAAAAATATGATTTTTTTGGGTAAGTGCTTACTACGCTTGCAACTGCATAAGGTCATATTGTGTACGGGATACATTAAACATTTTCAGTGGGTAGGAAATTT